CCCTACACCTCGACACCGAACGTGATCCACTCCTCGGACTTTAACTGGGGTCCAGGACGCCCGGGCAGGGGATCACCAACACGCTGCGGCGTAACCAACACAACGTAGCATTGCTCCTGCTGACGATTTCCTTTCCAAGAAATCTGGTGCCTTGCCTCATCTCGCTGCTGCATCTCAACCACGCCGCACCTGGCAGCTGAATACAGGCGAAGTCACCCGGCCTATCCTCCTCGTCTTGGGATCTCAAAGCCCCCGACTTAAAAAGGGGAGACTCCTACGTCTCGATATTCATCTTCTCAGATCCGGTGAGCCCAAACAATACCCTCCCACAATGCTATCCTCTACTTTCCTTCCATCCCTCACTCTAGCCCTAGCATCCCTGCCATGGAGTTCGGCAGACACCACGACCCCATGCAAGTCCTTCCCAGGCGGCGCTGACTGGCCGTCCACAGAATCCTGGGCCGCGCTCAATGAGTCTCTTGGAGGCCGACTGCTGCCACCGGCTGCTCCAGGAGCTGTCTGCCATCCCGGAGAACCGTCCTACGACGCCGGCCGGTGCGCCGCCGTGCGCGCCGGATGGAGCCGCTTCGACTTCCACAAGGCCGACCCCGTCTCCGTCATGTGGGACAACTGGAGCAATGACACCTGCCTCCCTGACGCGGCTTATCTGTGTCGCGCTAACGGATACTCTGCGTTTGTCGTGAACGCGACCACGCCGGAGCATGTCAGGTTTGGTGTTGACTTTGGTGCGTTTTCACACTCTTCCTACCCCGTAGTCGTAAGGGGTCGGTTGCTTAACAAGTGTAGCGCGGGAGAATAATGTGAGGTTGATCGTCAAGAGCACAGGGCACGATTACCTAGGCCGCTCTTTTGCTCCGGGCTCTCTTTCGATCTGGGTGCACCACATGCAAGATGTGCAGTACCACGGCGCTGGGTTCCAACTTGCCGGGAGCGATATCGCCATCGAGGGGAACGCCGTCACCGTCGGGAGCGGCACCGAGCTGTACAACGCGCAGAAAGCCCTGGCCGAGCACGGCCAGGCCATCGTCGGCGGCGGGTGCGGGACGGTGGGAGTCGGCGGGTTCACCCCCGGAGGCGGCCACTCGCTGCTGGGCCCGCGGTACGGCATGGCGGCGGACAACGTGCTGCAGATGGAGATTGTCACGCCCAAAGGCGAGATCATGACGATTAATGAAGCGCAGAACACTGATCTGTTCTGGGCCATGCGCGGTGTAAGAGCGCTCAGAATCTGAAATTCATATAAACTTCTCGATATTAACACGAGAGTAGGGCGGCCCCGGCACCTTTGGTGTCATCACATCCATCACCTTCTTAACGCACCCCTCGCCTGCAATCACTCACACCTTCTGGGCCATCAGAACTGAGCCCGATGCACCCTACCTGCCCGCCCTCACCGCGTACGTCCTCTCCCAGATGCCTGCGCTCGAACGCGCCGGGATGTCCATGTACTGCACCTCCTCGCGCGTGCTCATGGACAACCCCTTCCCGGTGCAAAGCCTGCCGGCGCAGATCGCAGGCATGATGGGCGTCGCTCTTCTTCAGGACCAACTCAACCCTGAAGCGATGCAGGAGCTCTGGCAGCCAATCAACGCGACCATCGCCGCGCGGTGGCCCGAGGCCTTGTTCGTGCTGCAGACGGAGCAGTTCGCGTCGTGGTTCGACTGGTTCGACAAGTACCGTGACGCGCGACCTGTCGGGTACCACCTCATCTTCGCGTCGCGGTTGCTCGACGAGGCGGCTTTGACTGAGGATGTGGACGCGCTGGCGACGGCGGTTGGTACGGCCACAGAGAAGGTGGGACGCGTGACGTCGTTTTTGGTGGCCGGAAGGGGGGTGCACGAGGCGGTGCCGCGAGGGGGCGGGAATGCGGTGCATCCGGCTTGGAGGAGAGCGTATATCCACGCGAGTGAGTATTCGAGTTTGCACCGGGTGAGATGTGATGAAGCTAATAATGTGTGCACAGTGGCGACGACCCAGTTCCCTGCTATGAATGCCACGGCCAAACAGGAGGCGATCGAGCTTGTTGATGCGGCGGCGGAGGGGTTGCGGGAGTTGGCTCCCGAGATGGGGTCTTATATCAACGAGGTGAGTGATCCGCTGTCAAGCCTGAGAACTGGCTGCTCATCAGGATATAGGGCTCTGTGTATGAAAAGGACTGGCAGCAGGCCTACTGGGGAGCCAACTACGAGCGACTTCTCAGTATCAAGAAGACCGTCGACCCGGAAGACGTGTTCTGGTGCGAGCCGTGCGTCGGCAATGAGGGATGGGAGGTGGTGGATGAAGGACGCCTGTGCCGAATCTAAGTTTAGAGAATCAGAGTGGTTTCAACGGAAGGTGTGAAATACGAATTATATCGATTAACTATGATTAGATCGTCCGCAACTACGGTGCTCCCTCTTAAGCCTTCGTCGTGACATTCATGTTCTTCACCCACGGCTTCCAGACATCCTCAATGGTGCCCGGGTCATTCCACCCGTTCCACTCATAGTTGCCCAGCGCCCAGCCGTCAAAGACACCCTGTGCGCCGGAACGAATACGGTAGCTGCCCGCCAGCCCCCACATCATCCAGCTGATCTTGTTCTTGACGGTGAACTCGCGCAAGCAGACCTGCAGAGTGTCGTTGCGCATCGTGTCGTCCTGCGCGTTGCCGAACTCGGACAGGATGACGGGCGTCAGACGGCTCGCCTTCGGGCAGTCGCCCGTAACATTACACGCGGCCGGCTTGTCGATGCCGAGCGCGTTGAACCCGGAGCGGTAAAACCCGGCCTCGATGATGGGGCAGGTGCCCGTGTCGACGTCCTCGCTCATCTTGTACAGGTGCAGCTCCCAGACGAGCTTGTCGGCCCAGGCGTGCGCGTCGACGTCGAAAACCTTGGGCTCGCGGCGGGCGGCGTCGCGGATGGCGGTGCACTTGTAGCACGGCGCGGTGAGGTAGTTCTTGCCGCTGGTGAGCGCGGAGAGGTCCTGGCCGTACTGCATGCCGCCCCAGAGGATGAGCACGTCCGGGTTGGCCTCGTGGATGGCGTCGGCGCCGGCGGAGAAGTTGCCGACGAGGGTGTCCCAGTTGTAGTACAGGTCTGTCCTGTTCCAGGACTCGCGGACCTCGTTGCGCAGGGACATGGAGACGATGTTGGGGTGGTCGCGGGCCCAGTTGGCGACGTAGGAGAGGCCGCGGCGCCAGTGGGTGGTGTTGAAGTAGACGTCGTCGAACCAGGCGTTGCCGTCGGTGTGGGAGCAGCACCACATGGCCTTGCTGACGTGGACGTCTGGCGAGATGAAGATGCCGCGGTCGAGGGCGGCCTTGGCGATGTCGGACCAGATCTCGAAGCGGGTGGTCTCGCGCGTCCAGGTCGGGTTCTGCTTGATGATCTCGTTGGTGACCTTGGTGCCGTTGACGTAGCCGAGGGCGTTGATCATGGCGACCTCGAGTGGGACGTCTTCGCCTTCGCGGTCGTAGATTTGGTCCACCATCTCAATGGCATAGCCCCTGGTGAAGGGTGGGTTAGTTGCGTGAGTACCGTGAAGGACACATGTAGGGACAGCTTACATTCGGATGTAGTTGAAGCCAATGCTGGCGACGCTGTCCAGGATCTTGTCGACCGAGGACCACTCCAAACCCTCGGGGACCATGGTCTCGCCGCTCATGGGCCAGTTGACGCCAGCCCATGTGATGACCTCGCCGCGACTGTTGACAATGTCGCGGCCTTGGGTGCTGAAGGGGCCATACGGCCAGGCGTTGCTGGAGTCGTTGGTCGCCTGTCTGACGGACTGACTCTGGGCAGTGTACCGCCCCATGACGGGGGTCTTCATGTACTGGCCGCATGCCGACGACACGAGGGTCGCGGCGGCGATCGCGAGGGCGGTCACCTTCATTATGGAAACAAAGTTGCGCCAACGACCACGTGTAGAAGCTGCAATGGAACGGCGAACGTTGCGTCGAGGGAGGGCGAAAAGGAGGCCGGCGTCCTCTTTAAGGCCACCGCCCGCGGCGGCACCTTCATGAGCCGCTGCCATTTCCTGTCCTCGGTGGATTGGCCGGCGAGGTATCCGTATCCGTGGAGAGCAAAGGGTTGGTCGGTCAGTCTAGTTGGCTGGGTCGGCTCCGCAATCCCCGCATGTGCTGTTTCCTGCCCCTTCCAGCGGGAATTAGCATCGTCATACTCTCTCGAACCTGTCTGGTCATGAGGGTTGGTCTGGCTGCGTACCACGCCGGTGGATGGGGTTGGTTTTTGCCGGAGCTGTGGGCGATCAAGGTTTTGGGGCCGGGAGAGCAGGGAGGCCCTTGTCGCGGGGAAGGTTTGTTGGAGAAAAACGGTGACGGCATTGGACCGCTTGAACGAGTGGAGAGCTCGGGAGCCGGGCTACCCCGCATGGCAAAGTGCGGAGGCGGTGGAGAAGACAAACAAAAGGAAATGAAAGCGGGCAGCGGGACATTTCCCAGTTGACCAGTCCACTGGCTTGCCGAGCAACCCGTCTCCGGGGGCGGGGGCACCATGGCTCGGAGCCGGACCGAATCGGATGGGTGCTCCGTGAGATGCCTGGATCCTCTAGTAGCCTGATTTCCCACATGTTGATAAATCATGTGATGACGTCGTCAGCCAAGCTGTGAGAGGAGCTTAGGTGAAAACACTATTAATGCGGTCAAGGAGGCCAGTGATGGCAATGTCTTAGATGACTGACGACGGGTACGCGTATTAACAGCAACGAAGACGAAAAGAATAGAAATATTAGAGACAACGTAGAAATAACAGAGCTGGTATAAATACGGAATAGCTTCAGATATCTCACAAATTGGATGAGGTTGAGAGCTTTAGCTTGAAGCTGAATACAACGACAGCATAGCAGCTTCTCGACCTGAAATCCATATCTCTTGTCTGGCGCTGAAGTTGTCTATCATTCGCAGTGAAGCCTCCTAATAAGCCCTGGCCATCGCAACATACCCTAGCAAACACTCCAAAACAATATAAAAAGAGAGATCACGACTGGGGCATGAGTCGAACACGCGACCTGCGCCTGAAGATATGGAATACGCGCCGCTCTACCACCTGAGCTACCCAGCCGTTGCTTTCTTGTTGAATTATCACTCTCTCGCCTTGATCTTAAGTCGAGAGGCGATGCGGGCTGACAGTGGTCGTGGTTGCCTGGAGGGAAAGATGGGGCCGAGCGGCCTGGTCTGACGGAATCTTCTAGATCAACACGCGCCTTTCAGATGGGCAGCTTCAGGGGTACGAACATCATATTACCGGCAGGTGATCCAAACGTTGCAATAGCCGCTGCGATTTAACAAGAACTTGAGAGGCAATCGTGAAGTTCATTGGTAGGCGGCACAGACTTGTAAAGTATTCAAGATATGTGCATTTGAAATATATTCACCAAAGAAAGTAAAAAGCGTCTACTACTTCTTCAAGCTCTTCTCCGGGTCCTTCTCGTACCTATTGCACCACTTCCTCCACTCCTTTGCGCCCTTGTGCATGACCACCTTCAAGTCGTCCTTGACGTCGTTGACCTCCCACGCCTCGTCCTCCCAGTTCTTCTGCCCTCCGGTACGCGAAGGCGACCAGCCGATGGCCTCCAAGCACTCACTGTTTTTGGAAATGTCAGCAGGTGTTCACATATTAGATACGGACTACGGGGCCGGAAAACTCACACTTCAGTCGGTGCGTGGCTGTACCGGGGGAACAACCGCGAGTCGACGCGGTGGCACTCGGCGTACAGGTAGCTGGAAAGCACGTCGATGCGGTGCGCGGGCTTAAACGTAATCTTCAGCTTATTCTCCTTCTCCAGCTCCTTTTCAGACTTCTCGGGGTCGATCGTCTCGGGATCCTGGGACGTCGACGCGATGCGCTTCGTCACGGAGCGGGCGGTCTTGGTGCCCTTGATGGTGAAGTACGCCCACACAGCTGTCGCTCATGTTAGCATTGACGGACAGATTACCAATAGTAACCAACGTAAACTGACCATTAACCTCGAAGAGCCCGCTGATGGCAATCATGACGAGGTCGATCGCCAACGAGACGGGGAGCAGGCCCGTCGCGATGATGGCGTCCCGCTGCGCCTTGGACTTTGTCCGCAGCATCGTGTTGACAAACTCCTCCCGCATCTGCTCCGGCGTCATGTTCATCGACGGCGGGTAGACGAAGACGATCTCCTCCACGCCGACCGTCTTCTTGGTCTCGTGGGAGCCATGCGCCGGGTCGTCGTCCTGGACGTCCTCTTCCTTGATGTCCTCGGAGAACTTGCCGCCGCCCTTCTCATCGCGCGCCTTCTCCTCGCTGAACTTCTCCTCGAACGGGTTCTCTTCCCTCGCCTTCTCCTCGGACCCGGCCTCCCTGGCTATGTCATACACGCCGGCCTCCTTAGCCTTCTCATCAGCAGCTTTCGTCGCCTCGTCAGCGGGCTTGCCACTCTCCTCAGCCTTCTCATCAACATCCACGCTGTCCTTCCCCTTAACGTCCCCATCCTTACCATCTTTCGACTTGTTCCTCCTCCCCTTGCCCTTCAATGAGAGCTTGCGAGCAAGATTCGACGTCGACGACGATGAAGCCGGCGCCGGCGGAGGCGTCACGCGCGCCAGGAAGTCGAGATTACTCGTCGTAGTATACTGCATCGCCTTGTCCACCCCCCTCGTGCACTTCGCCTTGAACCCCGCCCAGCTCGTCGTCTTAGCGTCGCTCTGCTTCGCCTGCCGCACCTCCGCCTGCCACTTGCGCTGCACCTTGTGCGTGACGCCCTCCTTGACGCCCTCGGGCGGCGCCTGCAGCGGCGGCGGCGGCGGCGTGTACACCAGAAACCGCGTCGGCATGCCGCCCTTGTCCGGCGGCGCGGGGCCCCGCGCGCCCAGCCACGGCTTCGGGAACGGCACCAGGTACGCGATCAGCTTGTGCGGGTCGCGCGAGTAGTGTACCGGGTTGTTGGGGTCGTCGGCGCCAAAGTCGGAGCCCTGGCGGCGCGGCGGCGCGATGAAGCCCTCTGTGGATGGTGTCCTGGTGAACGGTGCGGGCTCTTGCTGTTGCTTGAGCATGGCTGCTACAGCGTCCGGGTGCGGCCGCGCGGGAAGGGGCGGGGCCGGGCCGCCGTGCTCTTCCTCGTGCTGCAGGCGCATGGCGAGCGCGCGGTCTTCGTCTTCAGGGGACATTGGATGAGACGGCTGTTGCGGTGGTAGTGGTCCGCTGTTTCCCCAGCCAGATGAGCCCTGTGATGGACGCTGGGGCAGCGCGGGTCGGTTGTGGTTCCCTTCTTCCTCTTCCTGGAGTGCTAATGCCATTGCGTAGTCGCGGTCCTCTTGCTCCTGAATGGAGGGATCGGACGCGTGTGCTTGGGCATAGTAGTCCGCGACCTCAGGTTCATGAGAAGGCCTGGGACCCGGCAGGGGCGGACGGTCCTCGGGGATGGGGGCGGGTGCTGGAGGTTCTGGCGACTTGCCCTTGTCGTCGGGAATGCGGTGTCCGTCTGGTACGCTATATGTGTAGCCAGTGTCGTTGTGATGTACGACGGGCTCGGGCGCCTTGCCCTTGTCTTCTGCGGTGGGATATCCATAGGGGGGCTGGGAGTAGCCGGTGTCATGATGCAGCACGGCAGGCTCGGACATGGGTGATACGTAATAGTTGTCCTGCGCCGGCTGATGTTGCGGCTGCTGCGATGAGGAAGCCATTTCGTCAACTGTCACCCTGGATTCGACAGGCGACGGCGGCGAGGGGCTCCTTTTGCTGGGAGGATCGTAAATGTCGTCAGCGGTGGTGTTGTTGCTGCTGTCTGCTGGGGGCCCGTAGCTGTCGACCCGAGGTTTACTTGGGGGGTCGTAAATGTTGTCCTCCTCATCCTCCTCCTCCTCCGGGACGGCGTCGGCCGCATGTTTCGTCCTATTGGGGTCCTTATAAGACCACTGCGAGCGCACGCTATTGGAGCGATACGTCGTGGGCGTGGCGGGTATAATGTTCACCGCAGGGACTCCGCTGCCTGATGGGACGGTGGGTGACTCATTGTTGAGGTCATCGTACCAGCGGTTGTCGCTGTGGGTTTGCTGGTCGTACTCATACTGTCCCTGAGCTTGTTGTGAGCTCGGCTTGGAGGGGAAGAAGAGCTCTTGTTCCGCGATGGAGCTTGGTGTATGGCGCTGCTGGGTAGTGTCCATCTTGGCGATGCAAGCTTTACTGCAGGTTTTCCAAGACAGTATGTTTTCTGTTTGGTTTTTAAGTCCTCGATGAAGAGAGAAAAGTGAGGAAACCAGGCGGGCTATACGGACACAAGCCAATTCACTCAAGTCAGCGCAAACCTTAAATTTGGAGCTCGTTTGGTTCTTCAGCATTCTGAGGCGACAAAAACCGCCTTGGAACGCGCAACCCCGGTGCGGCGTTGAGAGGAAAGATGACGTGGTGTTACTGAAGGAGGGTGTGGCGCAGCCCGAATTGGTTTGTGGCTCTGGCAGTCTGGCGCCCCAACGGTCAGCGGCGCAGCTCAGTGAGTCCTTGTACGGGATCTCCGTGATGGACAGGGGTGGTTTCTGGCGATCCTGGCATTGGGCAAACTGTGGCTAGAGCTCGGTTTCAAGTCCGAGGGGTTTCGGTGCGGCGGTGAGTGTCTGTTGGGCGACCGGCGAACGCATAGCGAAGACATCCTGGGGATAGCAGCAAAACTTGGATCTCTAGACGGTCACTTCTCTCTAATATGAGGCAACGCGCTGTTCTTCTCGCCCCGAACATGCCGTTGGCGAAAGCTACGGTACCCCTGATTAAGCTGCTGGATCGTGCGGGTGTTGTGTTGCACAGGAAAGATTCTATTGTTTTCTGGTGGATGGACGAATTGGGGGCTGGATGTGACCTGCCTACCTTACCATGAAGCACATATACGCGCACTCATCCAGCGTTGTTTACTGATCACGATCAGGAAAGAGTATATATAGCGATTACTGCTGTTCCTCCAGAAGGGGCCAAGGTCTTGGACAGTTTCGCGTACGTCGCGATACCACGGCTGGGGACATCGGGAAAAGTCGGAGGAAGCCAAACAGATGTCACCATGGGTATGCGACATGGAGAACAGGTCGGATTCTAGGCGAGAGTGTTAAGCATTGCATCCCCGCGGGGGAGCCAAGCATTTGAGAGGGACCCAAAAGAAGGGTTGAAGTCGTTAGCTTGGGGGTCGTGATTTGACGTTCGCAAAATAGCCGTCTATTTCGAGAGAGCCAAGGCATTCTCGAAAAACGAATCATTGTAGAGCGAAGAGTTGGCGTTGCAGTATTCACTCAACACGACACACGGCGGCTCCTGTCACTAGAGTGGTGATTCGCAGCTCGGGGTTGACGATGGAAAGGCCAGAAGTGAGGCCAGATGAGACCCGGCGTCCACGATCAATCGCTTCAACTACACAATCCAACAGACCAAATTTAGCACCTGCTCTCTCAACATTTCACTGTGTTCATCGTAGCGGCTCGTGTCAGTCTCTCTCTTCTCCACATACCAAAGTCCCGAGCGCACCTCAGCTTTTTTTCAGCCAAAGTCGGCGGCGCAGCGTGCCAGGAAAGAATTGTTCGCTTCCTGCCAGGCTGCCGCAAGCCGAGGCGCACCGCAGCGCAGTCAGTCACTGCCATTTTTACTTTCTGTGGCCCTTTCAGCTGGTCTACGGCATAGACGTGGTGCCGCATTAGCCGTGCGCTCGGTCAACTGAAGTTTTGCATACGTCGAGAATGGAGGGAGAAGAGACGAATCCGTGGCAAACGAGCGTGCGTCTGTCTGTCTCCGTCGTCAGCTGTCAGCGAAGGAAAGCAGCATCGTGCAAAAGTGAGTGGTTGGCAGAATATCCGCGGAAGAATGATGATCGGTCGGTGGCAGCAAAGGTCCCTTCCCGGGCGGTGGGTGTTTGGGAGTGGGATAAATTTAGCTGAGTCAGCCCCGATTTCGACCGGCCACTTGTGAGACCCACCTCGGCACTCCGAGCTCTCCACCGACGGGCACAGGCACAGGCACCTTCTACCGCGAATAGCTTCAACTGGCCCTGTCCACATGCGTCTCTTGCAAACCGTCAGTGCTCTTGTCTCAAGACTACGTAGCCCTGGTTGCTGGGTTAC